TTCATGGGAAGAATCCATTCTCATCCGGGCTCTGCGCTCTTTCACAAATTTTCACGTAGTTCACGCTCGTAAAAAATAAGCTTGTACGTATAATACTCTTGGGTTTAATTATTTTAGATAGCAAATGATGTAACGAGTACAATGGAAATACTTTTTATAGTCGCTTGAAGTTTTCCTACAATTGCTCCATCTGTATACAGCAATTATTATGCGGAAGCGAACAATGCAAAAAAACTAAATCTATTGAAGAAGAATTAAAAATCTTTGCAGTAACTTTCCGCTTTTCTGGAAATTAGACAAAGTTGGTAAGGAGAATCGTTTTTATCATAAATTCGTAAATTGACATTAATTTTATTGTCAAAATTGAAAAATTGTATTTGCTTATTTGAATATTCTACTATGATGTACAAATAAAAGAATAGAAGATCGGATTATTTACGAAAGATAAGAACAAGAATTTGTGAATAATTTTAACATGTATCGTAACCCTTCCTTTTAGAGATACGAAAATTTCCAAAAAAGTTTCAAATCGTGATGTCAGCGATTTCAACTTTGTTCAACTTTTTTTTTTGTTAGAAAAATCCACTACCAACGTTCGTTCATTAACCTTTGATTTTTTTTTACCTAACATCGAAAAATCGAATAGTGCATTGAGGACGACGATACCTTCGTGTCGTGCAATTATGCACAAATGTTGTTCACGTTTTTTTTTTTCTTTTTTCTTTCTAAATAAGATGAAGCGACTTAAAAGTTTAAATTAAGATAAATTATAACGCGATCGTGCTCTAATAAAATACGATACATATTTTAGTAGGAACTAGTAGTTTGAATAAATGGACTTGTTGTAAATGAAAAATTATTCGAGGAAAGAAATAATAACAGAATAATTTTCGCGTAACTGGGTTTACGTAAATCCCTCGAGCAAACGAATTTTCGATTACTCATACAGACATCTCGTATATCGCGTGTAATTAATTTACTCCTCCCCGTTCACGAGTTCAGAAAACCACATTTATAATGTGAAATATCAGGATTTTCGTTCTTTCAATGCAGTTTTATCTACAATATTTATTTATCAATTATATATTCTATTGTATTATAAAAGAGATTTTTTTTATCGTTGTGTCTTTGTTAAATCGAACTTTCGAACTTTTCAAAATTCAAAATTCGACGATGCAACTTGTTTCCATTCAAATCTCGCAACGACGATTAAAAACAATTGCTTTTTTTTCTAAATTTTCTACTAGCAGTATCATTAATAATAACGATATCCGATGACTCATTTTTAGCAACACTGTTCGGTTCTTGCTCGGAATTTCTTATTCAGATAAGATATTTCATAATGATACACTAATTAAATGTGCAAATGGTTAAAAACATTTTTACGATCAGAAGTTCAAACAACTCTTGAATGTTTTTTAGTGTATTGTATACCTTTGACGTCAAGAAGATGGCATGTAATTTGACGAGCAAATTTTTTTTCTTTTCACCAATTCGATCACAATGGTAACACGAGTTATAAAACAGTGGGATCTCGATTATCAAGGGATCGGCGAACAAGATAAATCGAGGCCTACCAGATGATCAAATCTTAAGGAGAAGTAATTAAAAACATATATTATAATTCAAACATACATTACATATTTTTCGGACGGAGGTAATAAAGAAAAGAGATTATAACAATAATCATGCAGCCTATTCGAAACTGTCGTTCTTTTAAACCGTTTCTTAAAAAAAAAAAAAAAAGAAAAAAAAAGAATTCACTTTTAAATTTAAAATTTAATTTGCAATCAAATAAAATTACGATAATTCGCGTACAATTTTCTTACCTTCAAATATTTCTTCAATCTTGGCGCCACCGTCGAAACATTCAACTCGCAGAACGGACAGCAGAATTACAATAATCGTGCCGTCGTCCCTCCCCTTTAAAAGAAGATCGTCACCTTGGTTTCACGTCTCTTCAATCTCGAAAGGTGATTAAGAAGCAGGAGAATTTAAAATTTAGTTTAGCCAATTGTCCAATTATTCTGTCCTCGAGGCAGAAGAAGCCAAAACCTCCTCTCTTCCGTTCCTTTCCACGAGAAAGAGAGAGAGAGAGAGAGAGAGGT